ATAAAAACAAATGATTCATAAAATTAATCAAAAATGAAAGAGCATATTCCAATTAGAATATACGAACGAGTATACAAATATCACTTGATGTTCCCTCTGAGAAAAGCCTTAAACCATATTTATTCAACCATTCTTTCGAAAAGTAAAGAAATCATTCACAAAAGTAATTAAATAGGAAAAAATGCTCGTATATGCTGAAATGAATCAACTGAATCATTTGCGCTCTATGATTCAAATCTATTTAATTCATAGCATGCATTCAGGCTTCAGGTGCTTATTCATTAATCACAAGCAATAATCGCCAAGAGTGTTTTTCTAGTAACTACAAGAATAAATTCATTCATAAAAGTAATTGAATAGGAACAGATATTCGTACTATCTGCAACGAATCAACTGAATCATTGCATAGCCTTTGCGCTATACGATTGAAATCTATTTAATATTCAAATATATATCATCAGCTCTAACGAATGCATTCATGCTTAAAAGGCATAACTAACCAAATTGTGTGTTGTCATGCATGAATCATAAGCAGTAATCGTAATGTTATTTTTTCTAGTAACTACTAGAATAAAGTTTGAACTGATGTTCCCAAAGATAATGCGTCAATTCTTCAACAGCACTTAGCTTAATAATACACGATTTAAAGCCAAGTGAATGCTTGTTTGTGGAAGGCGCAAGAATACAAGAAGCAATAAGAAAAAGCGATTCGAGCCAAATCTGAGATTGTGGCACTTACAAGTCGTATGTAAATATGCTCATCTTCCTGCCACTCACTGTTTACTTAACGGACGGGCGATAGTTTTAGTTGCTCCGTTTGTCCCCTGATCCATTTGTCAAACTAAATGGGCATGCTTGCGGCACATTGTCCGCTTGCCAAGTGGCTGTTCGGCCTTGAAATCTACAATATTGTCAGCTGAAAGAACAATAACAATGGCCAAATGGCTCCATAACTGAAATGTAAACGACAAAAGTCGCTCCATAAATGTGCGGAACGATGCCTCGGAATCGTCAACAGAGCCCCGTCGTCTCCACTCTGGCTAGAAAAACTGCTCAACTGGCCCAACTTTGGATGACAATTTGTTGACAATTGCGTTTCACACTTTGCATAATAAACAGGCGTGCAGACAAGCAGCGGTATTTGTACAATTTTTGCATATACATACATATATAAATAATATATACACGTACATACTATGCACTGCCAACAAAAAATTGGTTGGCAAATGCAATACGTACAAATTCTTTGTGGGGGAGGCGAACATTTCAAAGAACAGAGACGATCCACTACTGAATCATTCATTTCACAAATATGTCAAACACACCTCCCAATATTGCAAGTCTGGCGGACTGTCGGTCTGTCGGTCTGTCGGTCGTTGTTGATGCATTACATTCATTAGATTGTAGATTGCTTTCATTGTTGTATTGTTGTTGTTGCTGTCAAATGATTCAGGTTACAAGAGAATTCAATGTTAATTGCAAAATGTCTGTGGCATGCTCAGGTTTCTCAGTGCAATACACTCTCTCGCCTGGCTCGCTTTCAATGCTTACCTGATAAATTGCCAAAGCACGACGCCAATTGCATAACAACAACAACAACCAAATGTACAACAACAAGGCCAATAATTTGTGGAAATATGTATTCCTACGATAAGGTGACAAATAGACACGTGTAGCTGCAGAGAAAAACAAATACTGGGCACTCGTATATCGTTGAATGCATTCGCAAATGACGCGCTGAAAATTGAGATCACCTGCTGCGGAATTGAAATTTTTCGAAATACCACGTATGACTAGCATTTGCCAGAACTACTTTATAACGCAGCAGGAGTTCGATTACACTAAACATTAAATAGTCTTCAAGCATTTCAATACACGTGAAAAAAATGTATCAGGAATGGGCTTGACTTAAATTTAATAAAAATATTAATACAAAATTTGAAAAACATGCATAGGATAAAGATAAATTTGAATAAAATATAATATTATATAATATTTAAAAAAAAAGAACTAAAACAAAATAAACTCGCCTTGCACAGGGACTAGGAGAGTCTACATACCAATTTTGTTTTAAGTGGCTTGAGCCGTTTTCGAAATACAGAGGTTCATACAGACAGACGAAGGTCGCGCCAAAACTTTCCTTCATATGGAAAACCAGAATTATAATAAAACAAGAAAGGAATGCTAAAGTCGAGCAGGCTCAACTCTTAAATACCCTGTACCACCCCACCAAAAAATAAATAATTTTATTAATTAATTAATTTAATTTAATTAATTTAATTAATTAACTAAATTAAATATACAATATTCCATACATGCATACATACATTTACATCAGAATCGTGTCTATTCGTGTTGGAGTACTTGTACTTATGTATGTATGTGTGCATTGGCCCTGGTTATATGGCTATAACTTTCTTTCTGATCAACCTATCATAATGAAACTTGGTATACGGATATATAATCTGGATAACTGGATGTGTCTACCAAATTTTAGTTCAAAATTCCAAGAATTAAGGGAGTTATAGAAAATTGCAAATAGGGTGCATCGGGAAAAATGAACATGAAGTGAGCTCAGGAGAATCTGTATACCATGTTTGGTTATTCTAGCTCTTATACTTTCTGAGATCCTTGCGTTCATACAGACAGACGGACATGGCTATATCGACTCGGCTTGTCATGCTGATCAAGAATATATATACTTTGTGGGGTCTGCCACGCCTCCTTCTGTGTGTTCCATGTACACTCGCGCAAAACTAATATACCCTTGTACCCTTTGGGTACAGGGTATAAAAAGATCACTGATAAGAATGTCTTGTCAATTTTGCGAACTTTCTAACTGGCAAATAATTAAATGATTGAACATTTCAGACAAGCTGAAAAGAAATATTTAAAAAATATTCATTTATCTCGTATAACATAAAATTTGTAAATTAGAAAGATAAGGATATATTGTCGAGTATGTGAGATAATAAATGAATCTAACTTAATAGCAGTAATATAATAATGTAATAGCAGTCTAAGTTCTTTCAAGCTATAGGAAAGAATATAAGGAATATTTTATTTGGACTATAAAAATTCCAATAAAAGATCATTGATGAGCATGACGTGTTAATTTTTCGAGCTTTCTAACCTTCTAATAATTAATTGATTGAACATTTCAGTCCAGCTGATAAGAAGAGAAGAACACTTCTCTATAAGTTGATTGCGAAATTTCAATTAACAGCAGATATTTTCATTTACTTGTATTTATCAGCACAGTAATAAATAAAAATGGGGGAAAAAAAGTCGACTTAATAATGCATAGAATTGCTGTCTCTTTGATATTTGGGGAAGTATATTAAAACATAGAGTATATACATATTTCTTTTGCCACCACTTCAGGGTAAATCTTTTTCTGGTCATAAACAAACTTGTGACGCGGCAAGATTTCTAACGAAATGTCCATAACTCTGACATGAATATGTTTACCCATGCATACATATATACATAAGTAGTGTACTAAGTATATACATACAAGTATAGTATGTATGTATGTAGGCATAACAAACGATAAACGGAAATTCTGCGACAAATCATGAAGATTTCAGCAAGAGACCGAGACATTCGGAGACGTCTGGGTCTCGATCTGGACAGTTTTTTTCTCTTTTTTTTTGTTCTTCTCCTAAATGACGAAACCGCAGCATTTATATTGTGGGTATGTATGTGTGTGTGTGTATGTGTGTGTGTGCGTGTGTGTGTGTGTGAGCTTGTAAGGCAACAAATAAATAAATTAAAAATTCACTCAAGCACAACAACGCAAAATGAAACCCACTTAAATACTGGGCGAGTTCGCCGCTTTATTTTGTTTTCCATTTTATGTTTTTCTTCATTTCTCGTCTTCTCTCTTTTCCGCTCTCTGTTTTGTGGGGGTTTCTTTTCAGTTCCCTTTGATGTGCAGACGACAGAAAAAAAAAGAAAAAACACTGCACAGTGGCAAATGTTTCTAATTGCTTATCACAAAAAACTGTTTACTGAAATGCAACCAAATATGTAGTCGCACATTAGTAAATCTGTATATAGGCATGTACTCTATATACTTAGATGCATATAGTATATACATATGTATATATGGATAAAGACAGAGTGCGGGGAATGTGTGCGCATTATGTGGAGCGATTTAAATTCAAATCGTGCGACCATAAAATATTACAATTCGAACAGCACATATGGAGTGTATTTTCAGGAAAATGAAATGAACACCCAGAGCAGAAAGAGACAAACAGACGGGCAGACGGGCAGACAGGCAGTGACATACAAATTATTGTTCAAAGTTCATAAAGCCAGGGCGAAAAAAAAAACAAAGAAACAATGAAACATACAGAAAGGAAACTGTGCTGGCAGGTGTCGTTGGATGGAAACGTCGTCGGATCGGGATCTGAAAAGGCGTTACATAATACGGGCAAACAGCACGCTTTGTTGTTTTTTATTAGTAATAACATTTTAAAAGCCTCAACATGCTCGTTAAATTAAAATTCATGCATAGAGTGGTCGGAAATGCGATACAGATACAGATACAAATACAACAACAACAAGAAGAGCAAGAGCAACAGCAGCCCACACAGAAGTACATCAAAAGCGACCATATGGGCTGGTCTGGTCTGGTCTGGGATGGGCTGAAGGGGGAGGCAAGTGCGGGTGCAGATTCTGTGGGTAAGCGACACCAATGCCTTGGTATTAAATGTCGAATTCAATAAAACTGATTGACGCACATGTGTGTGTGTGTGTAACTGTGTGTGTAACTGTGTGTGTATCTGTGTGTGCAACTGTGTGCATCTGTGTGTGTGTGTGTGTGTCTTTTTATGAACAACCCCCGACAGTTGTGGCATTGAGAAGCACGGGACGCTGGTGATGGCGTTGATGTCGCCATTTGAGTTGCAAATTGGTAGCATAAATTTTCCAGAAGGTTACAGCTTTACAGCATTATACAGTCAAAAACGAAAACCTCCCACTTCTTGCAGCATGTCGCACGAACCGCAAGAGAAGCAAATCATCTCAGCCGACATGGACACCTCCAAAGTGGAGGTCATTGTCTACACCAAGTCCGATAAGACGCTCAAGCAGAACATGAATGCCAAGGACGAGGCGTTGCGGAAACGCACCTCACTCATCATTGTGCCACAGCAGGTGGACATCAGCACAGATAATGACAACAGCAACATCAGCAGCAACTCAGTCCACGATCAGACGCATGCCAAAGCCGAGCAGCCGGATGCAGAGGCAAATACCAACGAGCTGGATCTGGCCGAGGTCACACACTTGCATGGCAATCGCAATTCGATTGCCAGCATGGACAGCTGTGTGTCCACAACGACCAGCCAGAGCAATCAGTCTAGCTTGGGCAGCTCCACCAACACCAACACCACAACCAGCACCAGCAGCAGCAGCAGCTCGGAGGACGCACATGCTGCCTATCAGGATCTGCGCAATGGCAATGCACACCCTGGTGATGGCGAGGGCGACGGTGAGTGCGAGGATGAGGAGCTGGCTGCCATGCACTCGTCCACATGCACCTCCCCCTCCTCCGTGTCGTCCAACTCCTGCTCCAGTTCGGTTGATTACTCGCTGCGCGAACAGTTAAAAAATTATGCAAATCGCTCCGCCGATGAACAATTGAAGTGTGTCGATAACTTGCCCACTGTGGCCCAATTGCTCAAGGGCATGAGTCTGCCCATGGACCAGACCACAGCTGCTCCTGTTGCTGTTGCTGGTGTGGGACTAATGCACTGTGATGCGCTGCTGAGTCCCCAAGAGGCGCCGCTGGGCCGACGCTATGCTGAGGTGGCACAATTCAAAGCGCATGGCAAGGCGAGGTAAGTCTTCGCTAAAGAGAAGAGTGCGTTATGAACTCCCCATCAAAAAAAAAATATACAATCTGAGATAGAGATAGTTAGCTGAACATTAAATCAAGTCTTCAGAGTGGTATTCTTTCTTAGCCAAAACTCCAATCTACAAAATTACTCTTCCTTCTCAGGACTTTTCAAGTTTTTACACTCATTGTTCAGACCCTCTTTCGTTCTAGTTTCAAGCTTCATTAGGTCTTCAGTCTATTTGGATATGGAAAGTATTTGCAATGGCAATGTTTAAGTCTACTCTACACTACTCCTCATTTCTTCTCAGTTCTTTAAAAGTTTCCCCAACAATTGTTTCCAGCGAACATGGCAAAGTTTTGAGATACTCTTTAGTTCTAGTTTCAGGCTTCATTAAGTCTTCAGAGTATATGGAAAGTAGATATCTACATTGCCAATGTTTAAGTCCACAATGCATTTTCACTTCATTTGATGGCCCTCTCTAATCGTGTGTTACCAAACCTAAATGAATTAAGTCAAGCAATCCTTTCTTGTCCAAGATTTCAGTCTTCAAAGCTATTCCAAAATCTCTCCTTGTTCTCAGTTTTCAACTTCTTTATATCTCTTGACTATTTGGATATGGAAAGTATTCTCATTGGCAATAATTAAGTCCAAGATTTCAGTCTTCAAAGCTATTCCAACATCTCTCCTTGCTCTCAGTTTTCAACTTCTTTATATCTCTTGACTATTGACAACAACATATGGAAAGTATTCTCATTGGCAATGTTTAAGTGCACAATGAACTTTCATCCACTGAAACCTAGTCTTCAAAGCTATTCCAACATCTCAGTTTTTAGCAGAGACTCCTTTCTTCCAGTTTACAATTTCATTGCTTCTTCAGAGCATATAGAAAATAAAAATGCAATTAGCATTTCCAAGAGCACATAGAGTCGTTGAACTTAGACTTTACTTCATTTGATACCCTCCAGCCACTAAGACCCCATTTAACCTGCAATTAAATTTAATTAATGGCTGAATTATTGTATAGCTTACATGGACATGTATAAAGAAACTATGCATTTGGTTTTCTTCTCATATCCTTCCCTTCACGGCAGTACTCTCTAGTCTTTTGTTTGATTTTAATTCATTTCCGTGAATCCTCTCATACCGAGCTATTTCTTCCGATTCCGCCTTCCTTTCTTTACCTTCGATTTGGCTTCTTCTCTGTCAACCTCCATTTTGCAGTTGCATGTGTATTTTCTTATTTTCTAATCTCGAATCCACGTTGATAGTCTAGTTCTGTGCCGCCCCCCACCCTCCCCTATCGATAGCATCTGAAGGCAAGGAACTGCTTTCAATCTGGCAAATAACAATAACAACAACAACATCTCCATCCAACACCTGCCGCTGCATTGTTCTGTCTACACAACATCCTCTTACTAAACGATGTCAACTACTCACTCAACTCGAGAGTAAAACCACAACATAGAGCGCACCCTTAGCGAGTCAGTCGTCCTTCTTGTGATTGCCTGCAGCACTCTTCCAAGTCGTTGCTCGTCACATTGTACGCCATGCACTCGTCGTCCCGTCCCGTCCCGTCCCATCCCGTCCCATCCCGTCCCCCTGTCTTGCACAGCCATGCATAATACACAACTTAATTAGTATTACTACTTTATGGCACTCTCGAAGTCGTCAGCCAAACAGTCGCTCCCAAACCCGCACCCCTACCCGACATCCTTGCTGACTGCTCTGACTGACGAAAAATCTAATAATGGAACATTCCACACACGCATTGCCGCATTACCATATCAAAAACGCTTGCATGCCCGGGGGGCACAGACAACCGCAGCCCTAACCCTTACCCTTACGCTGGTTCTAACCAACCCAACCCAACCCGAACCCCAACCAACTCAACCCAATCTATTGAAATGCTTGTCAACATTTTGTGCGCTTGCATAGCTCAAAAATGCATTGCTCTATGAGTGCGGATGAGTGCGAATGGGTGTGGATGAGTGTTGTGGGTTGTTTATGAACTTTGAACGTTTTGAACTCGCCTCGCACTTGCTCGACTCGACTCGACTCAGCTCCGAACCGAACCGAACCGGACCGACCCGAGCTGTCAATGTGAGGAGCATGAAGCACAACAAGCACAAACTTCCTGGCATCACCAACTCCGAGTTGAACTTTTTGAAAGCTGTCACAACTAATTTGCATACGCACACACGCTCAGAATGGGAACACTCGAAATCGAAGGAGTAACCACAGCTCAGCCAGGACCCTCACATTGTTGCCCTGTCAACCGCAGTGCACCAACACAAAATCCAAAGAGCAGTCAGGAGCAGCACAACTCTACGAGCACTCGTGCTCGTATGCTCTGATTTAGCCCCAAAAATGTTTCATGCTCTTTTTGTCAAAATTCTTGTTGCATGTTGTACAAACTTTGGCATCTAGCAGAGGGGGGTGAGGGGGAATTCGGATTAGAAGCAATGAGTAGACACTAGCATTAAAGTACTTTTAACAAGCGTTAGCGTTAATATCTATGCACCTGCAGGGCGGAAACAAATATAGTCGAGTAGTAGTAAGTAGTCGAGTACAATCTGTTTAATGAAACCCGTGTTCAGATACCAAGTTATAGTTATAAGCTATACAAAAATCTCGGTATCTTAAAAACTCTTCATTAGAAAGTTTTCCCATAGCTCAGCGATCTAGCTTAATGACGTCACAACCATCATGACAGAACGCATGATTGTTCAATCATTTCAATGCTACCATATAATTTAATATTTGTCCTTCTTGGGACAGATCTTAAATAAAGAATAAAGATTTTTAAAAAAGTAAGTTTTCCAATCGTTTAGTCACATTTTCAAAGGTTGTTCCTGTCTTGACACGTTTCTCCACAATCTGCACTGAAAAGCGTCTAGTCTCATAAAATATTACAACTATTACCTTATTTAATTAATAAACAATAACCACACTAGAACACGAAGCAGTGGATTTTTATGCCAAATTGTAATTGTCTCTGCTTAAAATCAGGTGCAACTTGTTGTACAATTCTTGTCTCCACATTTAATCAGTCTTCAACCAATACTGAACACCGTCTAGTCTCTTAGAAAAGTATATTAAAGAAAACCTTTTTAAATTAATCAATAAATATTTTGTGAGAGACTTGACTTAAACACTAGGATTGTTATCCGAATCTATAAAAAGTCTGCAAACGTTTCTAGTCTCCCTTTAAAATCTCGTGCAACTTGTTGTAAAGGATTTTTCAATTCATCAATTAATCAGATTCTAAGAAATACCCACATCTTGTCTCCACATTTAATCAGTCTTCAACCAATACTGAACACCGTCTAGTCTCTTAGAAAAGTATATTAAAGAAAACCTTTTTAAATTAATCAATAAATATTTTGTGAGAGACTTGACTTAAACACTAGGATTGTTATCCGAATCTATAAAAAGTCTGCAAACGTTTCTAGTCTCCCTTTAAAATCTCGTGCAACTTGTTGTAAAGGATTTTTCAATTCATCAATTAATCAGATTCTAAGAAATACCCACATCTTGTCTCCACATTTAATCAGTCTTCAACCAATACTGAACACCGTCTAGTCTCTTAGAAAAGTATATTAAAGAAAACCTTTTTAAATTAATCAATAAATATTTTATGCCAGACTTGGCTTAAACACTAGGATTGTTATCCGAGTCTATAATAAGTCTACAAAAATTTCTAGTCTCCCTTTAAAATCTCGTGCAACTTGTTGTAAAGGATTTTTCAATTCATCAATTAATCAGATTCTAAGAAATACCCACATCTTGTCTCCACATTTAATCAGTCTTCAACCAATACTGAAAACCGTCTAGTCTCTTAGAAAAGTATATTAAAGAAAACCTTTTTAAATTAATCAATAAATATTTTGTGAGAGACTTGGCTTAAACACTAGGATTGTTATCCGAATCTATAAAAAGTCTGCAAACGTTTCTAGTCTCCACTTAAAATCAGTTGCAACTTTTTGTGTAAAATTTTGCAGCTCTTCAATTAAACAAATTCCAAGAATTTTCTACATCTAGTCTTTACTCTTAATCGGTCTTCAAACAATGCTGAAGAAGCTGAAGTCTCTTAGAAAAGAATATTAAATAAAACCTTATTAAATTATTCAATAAATATTTATTGGCTTAACATTTTGCAACTCTTTAATTGGTCTTCAAACAATACTGAAGACCGTCTACTCTTAGAATATATAAAATACAAATGAAAACCTTTTAAAATTAATCAATAATTATGTTATGCCAGACTGTATTGAAACATTAAATAATGAATTGTTATGCCATTCTATTAATTCTATTAAGTCTGCAAACGTAAATTACGATGAAAAATTCATTTTTTAAGAAAGATAGCTTGATATCCTGAGTTGTAATTTAGCTTTATTCTTTTTTGGAAGCCCTTTTTCCCCTATTTGGCGTACAGTAAATACTATTTAGATTTAGGTTTTGCAATAAATAAGTCATGCCTAATTAATTGGTAGTTTGTTTGAGCGCTTCACTTAAAATTATTGAACACTTTAGCAAAGTATTTATTTATTTGTCCAATAAATTATTGTGCGTGTGTGTTCGCATCGTCCTTGAACTGCCATTTGGCTTAAACCCTAGGCCTTGAGCACCTTTATTAGGCGCTTAATTCCTTTAAGTGTTTTATTATCCATAGCGTGTTGGCTGCGTTTTTCTCGTCCCTGTTCCTGTTCCCGTTCTTGTCGCTGTCAGTTGTTTGTGTTAATTTGACATAATTATGTCAAAATGTTTGACAGCTTGTCACATGGCGGGCAAAGTGTTTCTCTCTTGGCAGGCGTCCGGGCGGGGTGTGGTGGGGTAGTGTGGTCCTGTTTGGGTGCTGTGCGCACTTTTATTAACTTTTTTGACGCCACTGCTGATCCATCAACGCTCCACCTCATGCGACCGACGTCATTGTCCTTGAATTCAACTTCAAGGCAACTTCCAGGCAGCAACACACCGGAAAACGGAAACACATGCTA